TGTGATTCCAGTGAAGTGAAATATCTAGAATAGACAAATCCATAGAGACAAAAAGTAGATTAGTGGTTGCAGGGGGGTGACTGTTTAATGAGTATGGGCCTTCCTTTGAGGGAGATGAGAACATTCTGGAACTAGATTGAAATGATAGTTGCACACTGTGAATGTGCTACATGCCACTGAATTTTTCTTTTTGACATGATTACTATTATGATATATGAATCTCACCTCAATTTAAAAAGAGTCTGTAACCTAAAACGGGTCCTTCACAAAGCCTGAGGGAAAAGAGCCAACAAGCGCTGAAAACAATCTCTGCCAAACGGATTACCTCCAAGGTACAAAAACATGAGGCCTTAAAGGTCTCAAATTTGGCTGGTTTTCTTTCCTAACTGGAATTAAAATAAATAAAATGTTCTAGCATCGACTCCATCAAGGTCAGCAACTGACACTTCTCTCTTTGAGAAGGTTCTGTTTTCTCATAAGTATGAAGGTGCCAAATGGTTAATTATTAGAGTTGTTAATAAATTCTAGAGCAATTTGCTTGGGAGGAGACTGAAGAATTGCTAATAATGGCCTCCCAGTGTAAGGAGGACGAGGCAAGGACCTCCCCCGCACCACAAGGATTGTAGCTGAACCTCCCCCTCGCTCAGCGCTGCCATTCTGAAATGAAATGCCAGAAGCTTTCTCTCAGCATTTCATCCTCCTGGGAAGGGCGGAGTCAGAGCTGGGAGCCACCTGGGGGACTAGAGTAACTCGAGTACTAAGGGGTCTCTAGGGATCTTCACCCTCAAGGCTGATAAGGTGGCAGAAGCTCTGAGAGTAGCTGGCATTTTCCAAAGAAAAACCTAGAACAAACAATGCTGGGAGACGAGGAAATGACCATAAGAGGAGGCACGAGGGTGTGGCAGGAGGCCCAAGTCTCTCTCCTGGCACCTGTCAGGTTCCCAGGTGTTCCATGTGTAAGCTCACTGTTTACCTGATGCATACAGAAGGCTGCACCTACGCCGCTCCTGAGTTAGACGTGAACAACTCAGTACGGTTAACTCTCTGGTTCCTAGTTCTTATGTATTTTATAGGGCAATTTCAGTCTGGAAGTGAGTCAGGTCGATGTGATGCAAACAGATGTTTGTGTTCTATCTTGGGAGAAGCTGAAGGGCATTGTGAACGCTCACAGAGAGAGAGCCCTGTGGAACTCACACAGCCCCCAGCCCGGATCCAAGATGGAATGCAGTTGCCGCGTGTTCCTTTCTACTGAGCGGCAGAAGCAGGGGGCCAGTGACCTTCCTCGGTTCTAGAAAACAGACCCAGGGCTTGGTAGGTCGAGGCCATGCCTTTGTAGGAAGCAGAGGTCTCTGTTGAGACAGGTGTGTGCCAACAGGGCCAGCTACCTCCAGCCAACTACCATTTGACCTCTATGGCTCAATAACCCTGTCTCCCCTCTGAGCACCCCACAAGACCCTTCTCTTAAGAAGGCAGGGGGACAATGAACACACCTGAAGGAAGTTTTCTGAAGTCCTTGATTTCCACTGCATAGCTCTGAGCCAAGAGTTGACAGCTTATCTGCGTGTAGCCACCTCAGTTACCCTAGCATGTAAGCCATCTGGAGGGATAAGTCGGGGTTTGACCGCGTGGAGCACAGCCATTACCAAAGAGAGAGAGAGTCAATATTTGACTTAGAGCTTTGTGGATAAACGAAGCCAGAGCCTAGGATGCTGCATCAAACACCTTCTTATCTTTGTTTCCTGATGGAATCCTATGTAGGTATGTCTGTTTCCTTCTTGTTCAGCTTTTGGTCTCTAGTTGCTGTTAAAGTTTTTAATGTTGTCTGAAAAGGTTTTTGTGAGTTTACAACCATAAAGCAAATATATACCATAGAAAGATGATATTTCCACCTGAATTTTCCCCAGGATTTAAGACATTTGTCTTTTCACCCGTCAGGCCTTGAGACAGATCGAGGTGTCCACATGGAAAGTTTTCTATGTTTAGGCCAGCCATGTTTTAGAGCCAAAGAAAAATAACCGATTGACTATTAGATCGTAATAGCCAAAAGGAGAGCTGTCTGCACCGCTTCCTTAGACGAACACCGTTAGCCTGAGCATCGGCGATGCTAGAACGCTGGGCACGCCAACCATGAGTCAAGTGTGCAAAGTCAGCAGACAGAGAGGAACTACCTAGAGGCTTTCGCGTCCCGTCACAGTGGGCAGCCTACCTGGGCAGGAATCACGTAATCAGCCACATCCCAGATCCGGAATCCCAGTTTCGAAGTGTTGGTCACAGTCACGCCCTTGGCTTTGGTAGTAACTGAGCTGACCACAGAGTCCATTTCCTGGTAGCCCTTCTCCCACACCAACACCCACCTACAAAACAAAACAGGCCTCTTGAGTTGTAATTAGGATCTGGTGAATTTAAATGGATGTTAGGGAGCCTCTGAAGGCCAGTGGCTGAAAAAATCATGTTCGCTAATTACGTGGCTTTGCAAAAGCTGCTTAACTTTGTGGGGGGTGGGGGGGCTCCATTTTCACTTCTGTAAAACAGGCACAAAGGCACCTAAACCACAGGGTGGTTTGTGGGAAATGAATGAGTTTCGAGTAAAGCACTTTGCACAGTGATCAGCACAGAGAAAATGCTCAATGAACGATGTCTTCATTATTATGTATTTGCATTGCATCACCAAAAGATAATAAAAATTATGATAATTACCATTTAAGTGTTTTTAGGTGCTGGGCACTGATCTAAGCTAATCCTGACCACTTTGTAAGGCAGGTATCATTATTACCATCTCCATTTTACAGACAGGAAAACTGAGGCACAGAGAGGTTAAGTCACTTGCCCAAACTCACACAGCTAGTGGGTCGCATAGCCCGGGATATGACCTTAAGCCTCCTGCCTCTGAAGCCTATTCCCTTGCCCTCTAGGCTACACTCCCTCTAGAAAAGAGACTCACTCCTTTCAAATAGCTTTTTATAGCAGTTTTTATTTTTTTCTCTCCAAGAATTCAAGTCACATTATGCTTCTTTCCTCTGAAGTGGGGACATTACTGTAAGCCTGAATAATTAAAATTCTAAAGGCGTCAGGACACCTGAGAACAGACCGAAGCCAGCCGATCTCTGGTTCATGTGTCAACTCCACCATTCGCTGCTAGGCAGAACTTTGGCCAAGCTGCTTAACTGTGCTGTGCCTCATTTCTCCCATCTTTAATATGAGAAT